TTCTGTCCGACCCCCTGAGAACTAAAGACCAAAAAAATAGGGAAAAATAAACCCAAAAAATAGGGAAAAATAATACCCTACCCTATATACGATGTACATACATGGACCCTTTGGGCTATTGAAAAACCCACATCTCAGAGTGCGACGGTCTACCACTCAAGGGCTCCTATGCCGTTCCTATCGGGCTTTATTGTTTAGGGTCTGTATAGATACATATGATGTATACAGAGCTGTGTATATATATATATGTAGAGAGAGAGAGAGAGAGGCTCCATAATACAGGGATTTAATATTTAGTTTTATCTGGGGTCTGATATGATTTTGCTACAGGACTGTAATATGCTACTCCCCTATGGTTTTGGAGACTCCTGGGCTCCTTGGCTCCCCTTATTATATTCATATAGACCATCCCTAGCTCCTTAGCTCCCCGCAAAAGTATGGGTAGACTATCAAAAAAGGAACTACACAAGGGGCTCTGGGGGGTGTGTCTGAACACTAAACTCTAGACCCCAAACTTTAAGCCCTACACTTCGGTTCGCCAACGTAGACGCTAACAATGCGCAGTCTCTGCTTCCTCCGCTTAACAGCAAAGTCACTAGACTGGGATATATTTGGGGGCTTCTCAAAATTAGGGGGTACCATGTTGGGCGTCCCCAAAAGAAGGACTGCAATTCTTGTTGGGTCTATATTGAGGTAGGCCTATTTAGGGAAACTACAATTTCAAACCCACCCTCAGGGTTTTGGTTTCGGGTTTAGGGCTTTATGGGGACTATATAGGGGTTATGTGAGGGTTATGGTCCCGAAGATTCAAAAACTATTCCCAGGAATATCCCATTTGACCCTCGGCCTGATACCCAAAACATTTACTTGGAGGGTTTAGGGTTAATGATGTAGATATGTGATTAATAAACCCCCTCCCCTTAACAGGGATAATTCTAGGGATCCTAATACTAAGGCCCTTAATGACGGGTCTACATGACGGTTCAGGTGTAGCCATGAATCCCTACCGGGATCCTCTTAGAACCCTTCACTGGGATTATAGGGCCCCTAGTCGTGTGTACCCAGGCCAGGTCTAGTGCTGACGACCCATCAAAATATGTTAGGAGAACGGCAGCTGGGCTAGGAGAATACACCTCCAAGCAGACGTGGTGGTTTCTATAAATAGCAAAGACACAATCCTAATCATGAGAGCCCTAAACCCTAAACCCTAAGCCCTAAAGCCCTAAACCCAAAAAGGACCCCTAATTTTGGGAAACTCCCACTTCTCTCCTCGTTGCCAGAGTGTTTGCAGAGCACGTGCCGGGAGCCGCTCTTCAAGCAGCGGAAGCAATTCTGAGACCTTGGCAACGTCTTAGGGGTTTATTACCATTACTTAGGCTTTAGGGGGGTGTCACTTTTGGTTTTGAAAATGATACTTGCTTAAGGAAATTTGGGAACCCTAAGTAATGGTAAGTTTATATGGACTTGAGGGTTTAGGGTTTGAGGTTGAGGGAGTTGATGCGTTGCGGATAGTACCGACCAATCTTTAGCAGGAGAGAAATATTCAATGTAGTTTAAGAGCTGAAGTCCTTGAACTGAATTTAGTGCCGCCCAGAGGGGCGAAATATTAGAATTCTCATTTTGGGACAGTGTAGTATAGCCCGTTGCCGAACAGGTGGGAACAACCCCAAAATCAAGTCTAGAGCGTGGCCCAAACCACCCCATACTGACCCCAACACTTATGGTCTTTGCTTGGCCTGGGTTTCGGGTTTAAGGTTTACGGTCAGGAGAACTCAGTATAAGCGGGTTAGTCATGGGGAGAACTGGGGTCATTCTAGGGCCTATGGGGATCAACAACATGCTTACTACGTCCCCCTCACCCTCCCTGCGTCGTGGGTCCGTTTACGACCCGCCTATGATCCCCCCCTTTTCTAGATTCTAGGTTCCTCCTTGATGTAACCTTACATCCTTTAACAAGTCTCATCCGCAGGAAACCTTGAAGGGGTAAGTATAGAGGGGGCAGTAGGGAAAACCCCTGAAGGTGGAACCCTACGCTGAGGTTCCCAGCGCGTTCAGACCTCTCGAAGGAGCCTGCAGCTGCGTTGAAGGTAGTCAGGTCCTGTGCTGATGAACTAGCTTAGATTAGAGGGGGGTTGGGGGATTAAGGGCTTAGAGTCTGCGGTTTAGGGCTGGGGTCTTACGTAAGGATTTCATGTTTAGGCGGATGCCATACTTGAGACGCTCTGGCTAAGTAAGTTGAGCCTCTGCTGTAATAATCAATCTGGCACGCCAAAGACCCGCTGTGTTTGTTCAAACACCACTCAATGTCTCCCTAAGGGTCCAAGGACCCAAATAATAGGGTTTTAGGGCCCAAATACTATAATATTACTGGTATTGGGGCCCTGAAACCCTATTATTTGGGTCCTTGGACCCTTAGGGTCTCTGAGCATGTGATGAACCAAGCAAGGGGAAATCAATGCACACATGTCCTCAAATTAGCAGCGAGTATAACACTTCGAATAACTAGTACGATTAAAAATTACGTACTTTCACTTTTGCGTTTGCTGTAGAGACTTTATGCTTACCGTGAGTTTTCCTGTCAGCCTAGGTACTGTGGAACCCTGCAAAATAGGAACCCAGGTTTTCTAGAGAGACTGGGACAGCGAGGACAGCAGGTTAGAGATAGGGATATGCAGGGGCACAAGGGGATAGAGGGATGTACAGGGCTTAGTGCTTGAAATGAAGGATAGGAAAAGAACGTGGAAACTACGAATTAACTGGGGGTTATACAGAGCCTAGCTATAAAAGTCCATCCCATCATTCCTTGCTCCTCTTTACTAAAACCTGGTTGCTGTTAAGGAATTTAAACTAAGATACTATAAGAAGAAAAACCCTACTTTTACTATATATATATACATATTATGGTATCTGGATTTATATTCCTTAACAGCAACCCAGAAAAATTCTTATCCCACTCCATGCTACGGAGCCTGAATCATTTTGCCAACAGCATCTTGAGGTTTGCTGTCAAGGTTGCCTATACCATTAAAAAAAAACATAAGGAATCGAGGACCAGTATTTTGGGTAAGTATTTAGGTACTTCATGGGAGCCCCAAGGTAGCTGGCTGCGAGGCCAGGGGCTGGATCCACAGCCGTGTCATGCATCTCGCGCATGAGACACCTTGATTGCTACTTTACTTACCTTTGGTTAGCTGTGAATGAAGGACTGGAAAAATGGAAACTAGTATAATGAGTTATATAGAGACTACTATAAGGATCCATTCCTTCATTCCTGGCTAAACAAAAGCCAGTTTATGATTCACGGCTAGGGTCCTGTCTGTATGGGGCGCTACGGGCAGCATACCTGAGAATCTATCCGCATGCACACTAGTTCTTCCACATCAAGTGGCATTTAATGTCGGCTGACCATGGTACCTAGCAAATGAAAAATGCTTATGCTTCACCAACTATAATGGAAGTAATGCATCACGTAGAAACGCCGGTGTCAGAAACATTCTGCATAAAACTTGTGCGTGACTCACCAGTGGTGAAGAGGAACATTCCTAAAATCAAAAAAACTGAACAACCTGCCTAGCCGCCAAACCTTCAGTGCTACACGCCTAAACCACGGGTTTAGGTTTAGAGTTTAAGGTTTGGAGCTTAGGATTTTGGGTCTAGGTGAGCACCAATCAGTCAACTGATTCTCTGCGTTGTCCAAGCCGATCAAACTGAAGCTGCCTCTGCGTAAGCGCTACTCTGGGTTGCTATGAAGGAACTCAAATCAAGTTACCATAAGATGGGTATATGGTAAACAATAGGGTTTCCTAATCATAGTAACCCTAAACCCTAAACCCTATATACCCTTGTTCTAGTGACTTAACTTTAAAGTTCTTGCTAGCAACCCCGTTTGGGAGTGTCTTGAACTCAGCTCTAAGGGAGAATCCCATTAGCTCCCTTTCGTCAATATCTCTCTCTCTATCCCTCTCTCTCTTCTTCTTCTCCCTGCTCTCTCTCTCTCTCTCTCTCCTTGGGCCCCTAACTTCAAGGTATAGGGTTAGCAGGAAAAGGGGGAATATATTCTGTAGGGCTTATATAGGTGGGACTTATAATCCATGATTCCCTACTAAGAACCAGTAAGCGCAGGGCAACCCGGTTGTTGAGAGACTGTCCGTGTCTCAGAGCAAAATCCCATCGCGGCTACTGACAGGAACAGATCGCTGCGGAGGCCAAAGTTGGCAAAATCCCGGTTCACTAGTTTAAAGGTTAGGGTTTCTGGGGTTTAGGGTTTATGGGGTTTAGGGTTTAGGGATTATAGGGTTTAGGGCTTGGGGGTAGAGATTTCCCCAAACTCCGAAACACGAAACAAACAGCCAAACGTGTTGCAAACAGTTTGGCGATCACCCAATAATGAATCCTAAATTCTGACCTCAATTGCAAGAGGAGGGCAATGCGATGTACCAGTGGCTGCCCCGCTCTAAAGCAGCAATCGCGCTGTTGTAGCTGATGGCGTTGGGCTCACACCTGACGCACACCGGATTAGGGTTTACAGAGTTGATAGGTGTGGGGTTTACAGGATCTAGCTGTAGTCTAGCTCAACTTGGGTTGATAGGCTTTAGATTTGAGAGGGTTTGGGGTTTGGAATTATAAGTGCTAGGGGTTAGGTTATAGGCTAGTCTGGATGCCTGAACTGCCCGTCAAAAGGATTATTGTCGACATCTAGGGATGCATAAGGTTTCATACTCTAATACCGTGTAGGGCCTAGATGATTGGAATAGTGGAGAGGCAAATGGAAAAGACACGAAATGATGACTAGGTTTTACGTTTATACAGGAATTTACTGCTTTTGCGATGGGGTACTAAATAATGTGAATAGGTACAACTCCTCAAGGATGGTCAGGAAATCATCGGAATAATATTCCTGTTAAAGGTCCCCTAAACCCTAAACCCCAAACCCAAACATCATTGCTCATCGCAGACCAGGAAGAGTACACAGCTATAAGTTGATTGATACCCATGTCAGAGTCCTTCTTGCACAGCCCAAAGCTCAAAACTCCTGAGCTGGGGGTGGGTAAGGAAGAAGGGAGTTTATTTTACAGGGAATACACAAGCAGAACCTTAAACCCTAAACCCTGACCCTAAATCCCTTGTTCCTTAAATCCCCTTGTTCCTTAATAATAACTCAGCCCTGAAAGGGGATGTGCCTCAATAACGGCATTGACTGCAGCAGCAGGACTGCTGCTTCCCAACGGCTGCTCTTTTCCTCAGAACCCAAAAGGTCAATGTAGCTATATAGTATAGAAAGAACATGGGGTTTAGGGTTTAGGGTCCATGTAGCTATATAGAAAAAACTTCAGGCCCAAAAGGGCTCCCGGGTAACCACTTCAGGGCCCAGGTATATAATACGATAGAGCTAAAAGGACCCTTTAGGGAATGGAACCCAGGTTGGGCCTTCGCTACAAGAGTCCATTTCCGTTTGTTTTTAAGGTTTGGGGCTTAAGGGTTTAGGGTCTAAGTGCCGTAAGATTTCAGTCATGCACTGTGCTCTTCAGGCGGGTTTTCAGCAAGCTTGGTAGGGACCCGGTATGAACACCTGAAAGTCTAGAACTGGAAACATTAGCAGGTCAAATAGGTATTTCCAAAATTCGGAATACCATTGGCACCATTTCGGGCGTGCCCATAATAAGGATTGTTGAATTTGGGGGTCTATGTTGGGTTCCCCCTATTTAAGGAAACAGCCTGATGGGGCCGCGCGGATTTCATGGTGTGGGGGGGCCAGCCTCGCCTAGTTTGCCCACTGATGGTTCAGGGCTTGGGGTTTAGGGCTTACAGTTTAGGGTTTAGGGTTGAGGGGGATGGGCTATTGATTTATGGCTGCTTATGTACCCCTTATTAAAGTCATAATGGGGAACCTCAGGATCTGCTAGCCCATGAATGAAGCCTTAGTAAACTCATAACAGTCTTGGAGTCTATGTACCCTTATTAACGTCATAACAGGGGGAAATTAGGGCCCAATAGCAAATGAATGTACACTTATTTGAGTCATAACAGGGAATCTTAGAGTCTAATAGCCCATGATGGGTGTTGCATGTCCAACGTTGGAGTGCGCTCTGCACTTGTAGGCATGGCTCACAGGAGATTTCGGATAAGACCTCTAAGAAGCAGGGCTTCGAATTCTGCATAGCCATGCGTTACAAGCAACATGCTGCGCAAGCGCTTATATATAATATATGACTGCGTCTGAGATGCGCAAGCGCTTATAGCGCTGCTGGCGCCCACCACGTTCGCGTTGCATTGCCGAGTTGGCATCCTGTCGTGGAAGTCTGTATAACCCCCAAATATACTATTGTGGTTTCCAAATTACTTTCCATTATCCCAGCATAACCCCAATATAAGCAATGGGGGGGCTTGTCCCAGAGTTAGGGGTACCATTGCTGGGGTCGTCTGTTTGCCCCGCGCTGTGCAACATTCCTCTCGAACAAGGTCTGATCATTTTTGTGGCGGTCCATTTAGGGTTGAGGGGTTTAGGGCTCCTGGATAAACACAGTTTACTATGTTGCTCATTATCGGAACTTGTACTTAGAGGCCCGGAACTTGTTGGAAACCCTAAAACCCTTAAATCCCTATACATCCCACCTATGCCGAATAAACCCCGTGAGGCCCTTTTCAAAGGACCCCTACTTGGAGTTAGTCTGTCTCAGGCATCCGGCAGAACACTTAGCAACAGCTCAGGTTCCAGCTTTCGAGCTTCCTAAACGCCTCGGGGAGGAGATTCTTGCCCGAGGGATCCTCTGTAGCTCCATTTTGGGTCTCTTAAGTTTTGATAAAAGATTACAGAGCAGGCTCTGGGTATACCTCAAGCGTTGCATCGAGGATACATGCTCATGGAAGCGGCACCCTCTTGGCAACCCCACCCTGAGGTTGCTGCGGAATAGCATCCAAAAAGGAAGATTTCGTCACACTACCTACTACAGCATTTCAAGATACCCAATTTTGTATATGAAGTATAAGGAATCTAACAGAAAGGTAGGTACCCTTCAAAAACGGGTCGGGTATAGGGGTCTAGGCGGTGTACCTACACCTCAGTCGGGGACTCCTTGTAGCACATTTGAGCTATAGTCTTTAAGCTTCGAGTATCCCCTTAATAGCCCCTAGAATACTCCCCCATATAACGCCTTATATAACGTCCTTTCAGGAGTTTAGACTATAGCTCGTATACTTCTACTCAATGACGTTCTTGACATCCTGCATTCGCAAGGGCTCCTGCAACCCTGCATGCTCTGATTGCCCTTAGCTCGACACTAAACCCTAAAGTGCCCTAAGCCCTAACCCCGAAGAGTGCAGAGTATAAAACTAGCAAAAAATTCTCAAACTCCCAAAACCTAACTGCCGATTGCTGCTATAACGACCAAGGTATATGAGTATAGTATATATCTAGACACTACTTAGGTTCAATCACGCTACCTAAGCAGCTTCCTTGCTCATGCGGCTCCTCGCAGTAAAGTGAGTTGTGGCAACGGCAGCATGTCCCAGCCCTACGGCTCCGTGTATATAGGTAGTATTTATCAACGTTGGCGTCCAATGTAGGTCACAGCTATAAACTTAGTATCAGTGGGTGACGAACGCCTGAATTGCCTGAACGCTAGCTAGACCACAAAACCTTATATGTCAGTCATCTATTCCTAGCGTCCCAACCGCTGCATGCCAAGTTGCCAGCAAAGCAGATGCAATGCAAATTCCCATTCGCCGGCCTCCTTCGGAACGTGCAAGACTACTTGAGAGGTCAGGGCGACTTGGCAAGTAGGTTAGTAACTTGTATCGAGGATAAGTGTGGTGGTATCATGCTATACTTTCTAGGAACAATATAAAGCTTTCCTGGACCTCCAAGTCGGGCTTTGGATGGCTCAGTTTCAGCACTTGAACAATGTTCCCGGCCTAGTCCATGGATTCTACATAAATTGCATACGGCATGTGTTGCAATTCTATTTAGACTCTTCAGGATTGTACAGATGTTGTCGACAGTATGGTGTCTTTTTGGGGATACCCTTCAAAATTCAGGCCGTACTCTAAGAGGGAACCAATAAGGGACCACCCTAAACCCTAAACCCTCTTTTTTGACAACCTCTTATATAACCTGCTGGTTCATATGAGCTATAGTCTAAACTCCTAGTATCCCCCTTAACAACCCCTATATAAGTCCCCCCCCTTTTAGCAGTTTAGATTGTGATTCATATGGTTGCGCCACGATGGCGACTCTTGCCGGGAAACCCGGGGGCTTAAAGTGGGTCTTTGGGGTTATGGGGAGTTTTAGGGGGATATCGGGGAAATAGAAGGAGATATAGGGGGTTTGTATAGGGACAGTGGAAAAGAAAAAGGAAGCTACTATTTAAGGTTTAGTTAGGATCTAGAGTTTAAAGGAGTTACAACTACTCAAGGGCTATAGTATACCTCCAATGCGTTTAGGGCTTAGGGTTAAGGCTTAAGGTTTTGAGTTTAAGGAGTTACAACTACCCAAGGGCCAAATAGACCTGCAATTACTTCTGTCCTGACTACGTTCACGCTACCATGTCTATGCTTCGTCCCACAGTCCCCAAAGCTCCAGCGTAAACGACAATCGCCCCAACAGATGGAGATGATAGTTTCATACAATTAATACTAACAATCCTGCATCACAACAAATATGTGCATAGTATACTAAGGCCATGCATGCTTTTAGTACGCAAGGCACAATTAGCCCGCCACTGGTCTCGGGCACCACGAGTCCTTTGACAGATGCAGGGTAGTAAGTATAGGGGTCGGGGTAACCAAAATCCAGTTCGTCACAAGGTCACAGGTTACCCACTCGGCCACTCAGACCTTGAAGCTCACGCCAAAAAAAGCCTAAGTGCGCCCTGCCTCGCAAGAGCTGATCAAAGACTGATATGTGATCGTGTCAGGGACCTGAGCTTTGAAGGTTTTACCCTCAAGAAGAAAGAACCCCAACAGAGCTTTACAAACACCGCCGTCTTCATGAAGGGGGTTCTGTACGATTGCATAATGGTTTGAGGGAGGGTAGAGGGAGGGTAGGATGTGAGGGTTTACGTCGCGATGCCTCCTAACTTCAAGACTCCAACTCAAAAGTGCATCTAGCATGAGTGGCTCCTTGCACCCTCCCATTGGAGTAGCGCGCTGTTTTGCTGGTTGAACCTGGTAAGGTTCTATTCTTACTACAAAGTACTATACCCAAAAGGAGGATATAGTATTACTAAAAGTTCGATACCATCGTATCACCAAATACAATATTCCTTCCATGGGATAAAGCTATGGAGTTTCTTATCATACTTACAGAACTTGGGGGCGGGGGGCACTGTTGAAGTAGCGCCTGGGGTGCACATGGCATGCTAGCAAGCCCCGTCAACTGTCAAGGTCTCACCCTTCAACCCTGCAGCAGGACAGGGCCTTAATACTGGGTTGCTGTTAGGGAACTTAGATTAAGTTGCCATATTGGGTATGTATATTGAATAAGATGGTTTCCCCAACACAGTAACTTAACTTAAGTTCCTTAACAGCAACCAAGGAAAATCATGGCGTGCCAAAATCATGTTTGAGGTCTTGTTGAGGTATGCCATGCCATAACTAGACAAGGAACCTATCGGATGGTAATATTGATGGTTCTGTTTCCCTTGCAATACCCTACACAATCCCAGTTGTCCAGTTGATTCACCACTTTCTCTTCCACTAGATTCTCCATTCTTACAATGATGTCTAGTATATGAGTAACCATTTAAGCCGCTAGGTTTGCCATTACTATCGCAATATCTAGTACAGTATGTTACTAACCATTGGCGCCCCCACAGTACATCAAGCGGGAGGATGTCTTGGATGTAGAGACCACGGCATGTGGGCTTAACCATGAGCTGCTATCGAGCTGCAGTTGAGTTGCTGAGTTCTATTGTGAATGTAAAAGGGGCACAGCCCCAAACGGAACCACACAGGAGGCTCTGGGTGGCTAGGTGTGTAACGCCTTAGGTGCTTTGGTTCTATGACTGACGCCAGGGCCGTTCTCTCATTGCAATTTGGCAAAAGCTCCAGGATACGATTGCTACAGAACTGTTTCTTGCAAAGCAAACAAGGATCTGGCGCTATGCGCTGAAAAGCGCTCAGAAATAGTACAGCCAAGAGTCCACATGTCTGGAGTCCATGACCTGCGCAGCTATCTACCAGCCATGCGCACAGGGGCTGATGCCAAACTGGTATAGCTTTATCTTGTAAAGGAAGGTACCAGAAGTGCGCATGAGCTAGGACTGCATGCATGAGCTACGGGCTTACAGCGCCACTCCAAGGGGTAAGCATCCGTAGGAACGGTCCCTCAGAAATGTTATCCCCAAAATACCATACCTTCCCGGCTACCGCCATCAAATTCCCTGGGCTAACACCAGCAGTTACTTCGAATTTCGAGTTTTGCGGGGACCTTCCTTTCGCAGTCCCAAAGGGTCCATGTAGGTACATGGTAGATACTTGGGCCTCAAAGTAGGTATATGGGAACCCCTTTGGGCCTTAAGTATATACCATATACCTACATGGACCCTTTGGGAGTATCAGCTGTAATTCGAAATATGCGGATCGTTTGTCTCGGGTTCCTGCCCGCCAAGAGCCTTTCAGGAATTGCAAGCACCCAAATGCAACTTACTGCTAGTACCTGGACCCCAAAGTATGTGAAATAATGGCCTTTATGGCTATTACTAGGGGTTTAGGGCTATTATTTTACATACTTTTGGGGCTTAGGTAGGGAATAAGGGATGAGTTCGTTGGGCCCATAAAAAGTCTACACCCTTGTTTGTGACTATAGTAGGACTTTCTGAACCCGAAAATGTAAAATGTTCCTGCCAGCCACTAGAAAACACCCCGAACCCCAAGCGGAACTCCACAGGGAGTACCCTTCCCTAATGGATCATGGGAACCCGGGGAAGGCCTCTTCCAAAGGACTGAGGTCTTTGGAGGGCCGCTTTGGGCTTCGCGTTTGAGGCGGGTGAAGCAAAATAATCTAAGTTGTCGTGATACGAAACACTTTCAGGGTTTAGGGTCTAGGGTCTAAAGCCTAAACCGGCCTCCAACAGTTGCAACGCCATGGGCCAGGCGACGCCAGCAGCGCAAGCGTCAATCGTCGCGTTGAATGCAACCTCCACACTCCAACCAAAGCAAAACAAGTTCAACATGGGAGGTTCTCAAAAAAGGATACCCGAAGGGCCCGAAGGAGGTTAACATGGGAGGTTCTTAAAATAGGGCTTTAATTCCCCTAAGTAGATAGAATATGGCTTTGGGTATCTTATACTGAGACCCCCATATACCCAATATTCTATGACCCTCCAGGTAGGGTTCCCTAGGGGAACAAGAGGGCACAATGGGTCCCTGTAGACTATGGAAACATTTGAGCAACTCATAATAAGCTCTAAACCCTCAATTGGTATTGAAACCAAATTTCTATGTTATCCCCTGGCAAAGCAGAAGCCTTCTTTAGAGAGGCCACCTATTAGTTCCAGTTCAGGGATTTGGGTTGGGTTCAGGGTTTCGGGTTTTAGCTTCTACCCAGATTAACCTACTGATGGTTGTCGCCCTGGTGAAAGCCCAAACCCTAAACCCTAAATGGAGATCTCTGCGCACGGGCCCTCATGCAACCCAGGCTTCGTAATCAAGACCTACATCATTTATGAATGCTTCTCAAGGTATACCCCCAATCTCTGGCTATTGCGAACTGTAGGCCCCCTGAAAAGTAGCCCCAGGAACATAAGTACCGATGTGACAGCTTCCTCTGAATCAATGCTTGCGGATGTTTGGACAGCTTCCTGTGAATCAATGTTTGCGGATGTTAGGCTCAGGTTCTGATGAATTTAGGATCACACCCTAAACACTAAACCCTATACCTTAGGAGGACCCCCCCACCCTGTAATAGTGGTATAATAAGAATATAGGAGGACCCTAATAAATCCCTATTATCCCTTATAGTCACTATTACTGGGTGGGGGGTCCACCTAACCTATACCAATTTATTTCAGACCATGGGTCCAAGGCCTAGGGAAGGCATTGGGTCTGAGGTACAAGGTGGGTCGAAACTACAGATTCCCACGACCCTGAAGGTCCAAGTACCCAAGAACTAGATCGCTTTTTAGGGAAAAGTGGGGATCTATAGGGGTATATGAGGATATAGGGTGGATATTGGGTTTAGAGTTAAGTGTCCAATTTTTTGAGTATACGAAATAGTTGGGTACTTGGGATTCTGGTACTAGCAATTTGGACGTTTAGGGGAAGGAATGAATCATAGCTCAGGAAGGTTAGCCCTACATTGGGGTTGTATTGGGAAAGTGGAAAATAAAATGGAAACTATTATCTAGGGTTTAGGGTTTGAATATCGTCATTCTTGTTGTTCACGTTAAAACAATGCTGCGACTGTTGCTGCAGTTTACGGCTTAGGCCCTCTCTATTTCAGTGTGAGACTGAGGACCGTAGGTTTAAAGTTTACTAGTTGCAAGCTTGGCTCCTCAGCAACACAGACATTCTGCGTGACTCAAGAGTTTCTGGATGGCCTCCAGCTTTCAGAAACTGTGGCCCTCGCATGACCATCGAGGTGTCAAGCTCAAATCCCAAAACCCCATAAACCCCAGAAACCCCATAAACCACATAAAAATGCACCATAAAACTCTATAGACCCCATAAACTTGCCATCAACCCTAGGACCAACACGACCCAGGCCGAGCGGCTGTGTTGGGCAGGATGCTCTCACTGGGCATGGAAAACAGCAAATGCAGGGCTAGCTGCCAGTCTCCACTCCTCAACTGTCGTGAAGGGTTTATGTTGTTTGGGGGGGCAGATGTTTGAGCTTTGAATTGTGTGAAGTTTTGGCATTTTGAGATTGAGGAAATTTGGGAAACCTTGGCAATGGTAAGTTTATATGGGCTTGAGGGCGTAGGGTCTAAGGTTCAGAGTTTAGGGTACAGGTCAGAATTTAGGGTTCAGAGTTTAGGGTGTAAGGTTTAGGGTTGAGGCTTTAGGTCATGACCCTTGGGCTGGAAGCAAGATCAACATCTCCGAGTCCGAGCCTGAACCAAATGTTTGGGTTGTTAAAGAATGGGGTTGGTACCACATGTAAGGTTTGTATAGGGCTTTTGGGGCCCTGAGCCCTAAATCCTGAACTAAATCCTGAACCAAGGGGTTATATAAGGTTTGTAGATGGAATATAAGGCTTACACAGGTATTATGTTATGCTCTGAGCCTGGCAAGCCTACGCTGCCTCCATGCCCCTGACCCCTTTGCCCCAATCATAGCCTAATCTTACTGGGGGTTGGCAGGGACCAAAGGAATTAGTATGCTAGAGCGATTAAAGTTTGGGCTCAGGTTTAGTAGGGAATAAAGGAATCGATTTTACAGGGATTCTTCAGGGATTCTCTTTCCTTATTTCTTACTAACCCCAGTATGAAACAGCAGCAGCAAGCGAGACGTTGGCAGCAGCGGATGCAGTAGGAGTAGCTGAGTACATGGTCTTGATGCTCTCCCCAAAATGAAACACCTCCCGCAGCCCAAAATTATAGACAGCTTATTCTCCAAATCATGGGACCCTTTTAACCCAAATATTACGGCACTTAAATTAGTTTCCTAGAGATACCACAAAGGGACCCTAATTTTGGGACTATATATACCCATGCACACATATGTATATGTATATGTATGTATATACACACATATATATATATGTATATATGCTCCCCGCAAAAACAGGTCGGGAGGGATTCCATGTTGCGGTGGCGGCGGTTAATACCAGAAAGGAATGACCCCTCCGCAGCTCGGACGGTGGTGGAACCTGCATAATGGAACATATAGGGGGTATATAGGGGTTATATGGGGGTTTCCCAAAATGAGGGGTACAATTTTGGGGGGTCCCTATAATAAGGACTATAGTATTTGGGGGTCTATATTTGGGTCCCCTTTTTTGGGAAACTACCATATAGGGATAATGGAAAAGAACATGGAAGCTACTATTTAGGGTTTAAGGTTTAGGGTTTAGGGTTTAGGGGTTTGAGAACTGCTCCCAGCCACTAATTAGCTTTAACAGGGATAAGGCGAGAGGTTTTACGTGAAAGCATCATCGTCGTTGACCGTGGCTGGGTGGAGGAAAACCACGGAAGGCAGCATGCTTTCTTCTCAATATTTGATTGGGCAGGGTCTCTCCATCAGCACGACTGCAAGGAACTTTCAAGTAGTCCTGCCTTGGATACAGGAGTCCCAATTAATCAGTCGGATCCTGCAGTGATAGCAGCTACGATATTGCATTGCCAGAATTGAAGCAGGTGTAAATACATAAGGACGTCCCTAAATCCTGCGATTGCAATGTTCTGATGCACGGCAACGGTCTGTCGGCTGGACGGACTGACCCATGCATGGTCTGAAGCCCTGAACGGTGTTCCAAGACCACAGTCCCGCCCCACCATGTGGCACGCGTACAACATTCAGACAGTCAGACTGTCTCACAAGCATCTAGTTCTCAACTTCTCTCGAGGTGTCTGTATAGTCAAGGACCCTACAGGCCTCCCACGTTCAACAAGCCCCTTCATACGCACCATGAGAGTGGAATCTTCCCAACCCGTTGTAACCGGAACACCTTCACATGACATCAAATTCAAATAATTACCGCAGGCTTAGGCGCCGATTAAAAAGCCAGGTGTAAGCTGCAAGATGGATCCCAACAAGAAACCACGAAGCCCCAAGCCGTCCTCAACTCCAAACCTTGGAGCCCGAACCCTAAACCTCAAAACGTAGAGCCTAAACCCTAAACACCACATCCTGAAGGCTAAACCCGAAGTTAGAGAGCCTCAAACCCAGGACCTATGTATGTTGTTACGGCCGAAACCCAACAAGGACCCGAAATTGCTGGAAACTATTTACCATATCCTGTATATAGCTGTACAGAACCCCATTTAATCCTATACAACCCCAGTAAGATTAAACATCCCTATACCCATCCTTGAAATGGACCCCAACTAAACTGTTCACAAGAAGAGTGTCTTCTGGCATGCGCTGATCACCTCAGCTGCTCACAAATATGGCAGGTCGCTGAAAGTCTTGACCCTTTGGAGGGGTCTTTGATAGTGTGGATAATGACTTGGGCGGTACATGAATAAAAGAGGGAGGCCCATCCTAAGAACCCNNCCCCCCCCCCCCCCCCCCTGCTATGTCAAGATCTCGGCTTCCTGGTCTAGTGATGAAGGCTAGGTAGACATACATCACACACATGCTTGTTACAAAAACACTGATGAGTGTAAGATGAGGGTAACAAGAAGGGACTGCTGGTGGCAACCTGACAATAATTTTGTCCTGCCAAGTGCAGGAGGAATTCTGAAACAGGCGATGCCGCGGCCAATAAAGCATTTTCCTGTAATAACTTCTAAACAGACCCGTCACACTGCTGTAGGTGATGACATCGGCTGGAACTGTGGCCGCTCTCATCGCTCGCAGCAGCAAGAGGCTCTCCTCCCAAACCAAACTCGGGGGTGAAGAGACTTGAAATTTAGGGCACTTATCGCCTCCCGTTGAAGCAGCCCCCGTTGAGGAACTTGTAATTTGTAGATGATAGACCGCAGTCCTAGGAAACTATGCCTTTCACCCTTCGTGGGTGAACGTGACTTTGTGGGTCAGGAGCTTTCTCCTGTGGGTTGGGTTATAAATTACCAGTATACTTTAAGTCTCCCTGAACCTCCAAGCAGAAAATAAAGGCCAAACTCTCAGGTGCAGCGAAATACTAGCATTCCAAGCCAGTCGCTGCGTTCCCTGGCCCAAGCAAAATAAGCTCTTCAAGGAGTTTAGACTATGGCTCACATAAGCACCAAGATGTTCAAGATTTTCTCTCAGCTACCAAGCCAAAGAACCATACAATGTTCACTATCTTTCGAAATCCCCAAAGTCTACTTAGTTCGGTCTCAAACAAAACCTGACCCTAAATCCTAAACCCTAAAAAACCCACAAGCCTGCGCCACAGAGACTGGACGAAACCTGAAGCTTCGTGTGTCTACAGATTTGTATTCCCTATCCACCACTTACCATCTGTGAACCGAAGCTGTAGGTAAGTGGAAACACAGGATCTTCGCTTGCGCAATGCCGAATAGTGAATACCAAATAAGATTCACTCCAAGTCTTTTTGTAGCTAGGATATGACACGCCATAAAGTGGATGCACTTGCACCTCCCTATGTGTCGTATCCATGCATAAGCCAGAAATATATGAATGTATACATGTCCGCAGAATTGCAGTATATCGTTAAAAGTTGTTGGGCTTAGGGGCTCTGAACTCAAACCCTAACTTACATCCTAGAACATCCCCTCAAAACCCTGGACCCTAAACCCCTAAACCCTAAATCCTGATCCCTGTATAAATCCTACTCCAAAGCTTACAACCAGAACACCTCCTCAAAAGCCCTTCAAGCTTAGACTAGCTCGGTCCTGAAGACGACTCGCCTTCTCACATGCGCTGATGCCAGCCTGGGTTACAGCCAGGATATGTGCTCTGCGTGGCACTTAGGGCCTCTACTAAGGGTTAACCTTTTCGGTACCTATATAACAGGAGTATAAGGGACCCCCAAAGGGTTATTAAAGGTCTAAGGTCCAAGCTAAGTCCCAAGGAGAGCTGTAGTCTAAACTCTAGTATCCCCCTGAATAACACCAATAGTAGTCGTCCCCTATATAATCCCTTTTAGAACCCCCCTTTAAGTAGTTTAGATTATAGCTCATATGGGTTTAGGGTTTAGGCTTTAGGGTTGGGGTCTCTCACAACGGCGGGCCCTCCAGGGCCTCTATGAATATTAGGGATTGCATGGGGATTGATTTGAGAAACTCCCATGTAAGAAGTGGCTTCCGGGTGGGTTTCAGGGTTCAAGCACCTTTTGGGCTCTATTATTTGAAATGCACAGTCTCTAAGCCGACGCACCCTTGGGAATTATGGGGAGACACCCTAAGCCCTAAACCCTAAACTGCTAAACCCTCAACCCTAAACTACCCTAAATCCCTAAACTATAAACACTAGAAGGAAGGATCCTAAGGCTAACTCCCAAGATGTCATTGGCGGTCAAGGTTTAGGGTTAAAGGTTTAGGCTTCAGCGTCTAGGGTTTGGCGGTATCCAGGGGCCTACTGTTCCTGTTAAGGGGGGTGATAGGGTTTAGGGTTAGTGTAGGGGTCTAGATACTTCCCAACGTCGCAGAACCACATGGAGAATCAAATGGAAGATGGACTGGAATGTTTGGGTAAGGCAAGGTTTGTAGGGATATCGCGATGTAGGGAAGCCTAAGCATTTACCAATATTCCTACATCCCTTGTATAATTATGATGTAGTAGACCCCAATAAAAGCCCTAATCAGGGTCCATCTGAGAGTCTATCTAGGCCTTACTGTATCCTATAGTGTAGCATAGGACCCCTAACTGAAGTACCCAAGAAGGCGAAAACGAATCCCCGAAACCAGTACGCCGAGACCTTTTCAGATGCCCTTCATCCGGTCTCGCGGTGTGTGGTCGTGCTTAGCAAGTTGAAACCTAAACCCTAAACTCTACAAACCCCATAAGCCGTACAAACCCTATAACCCTAAACCCTATCCAGAGGTAAGGCGGGAGGACTGCTAGCCCAGTCTGCAAGCGCTTGGGCAATGTCCACATGTCCGTGCTTTTGAGCTATGTCAAGAGGGGTAAGCCCTTGCTCACCTTGGCAATCACCACGCCCCAAATTTGGGGTTTTAGATTCTGTCATATTCGGAGTATGCATTTAATATGAGGGGTTGAATATTCCCTTTGTGGTATCACAATGGGTACATGTCATATGGGGTGTAATTTTAGGTGAAGGGGATTAGCCTAGGAACTACATTCCAAACGAGCGCACCCTGTTTCTGACTGAATTGGAAAATGGACACTTGTTCATAACCGGGGGTATGTACAAGGACTGCTGTAATTAAGGACTGTCTTATTTGTTCATTGAATCAAGGAACCCGAAGCCCAAGACGGGAAAAAGGGTACCAATGAGGCTCCTAGTCACTTGAGAGCTGCTGATCTGCACGGGCTTGCAAAAGCAGCTTCGCAATTCTAACATGTCCCCGCCTGCATGCCATGTGCAAGGGATAGTTTTGACCTTGCACACGGCAGTTAGGGTCCGCAACTCTGCGTAGCAGATGGCACACAACTTCTTCCTGTCTCCTCTTTGCATGTTGAAAGCTGTCTTTATTTATTGCTACCCACAGAGGTGTCTCACCATACGAGTTGCGGACAGTCCTCTCTGCATTGGCTTCTAAGAGCAAGCAGACAATCTCTGGGCAAAAGCAATGAGCTGCCACCAGGAGCGGCGTGGAACCGCGCCTGTCACGTGCTTCTTTGTTAGCACCGCCCTCCAAAAGCACACGCACCACCTGCTCGCGACCTTCTGCACATGCAGCCAGAAGAGGTGTGATGCCACACCACCGGCTTCGCGTTTCCACGTCGGCGTCAGCTTCTAAGAGCAAGCGTGCGATTGCCACATGGCCGTTCTTGCACGCTAGGAACAAAGGTTGTTCGTAGTCGCGGGGATCGGCGCAGCTTGGGCTTTGTGGTCGCTGAAGAATCCTTAAAGGTCAGCCGGGAATGAACGCACAGGAGATATAGTGATCCTACAAGGAATGCTACGATATTTATGGGAATCGCAGAAAGAAGGCATACCCACACCAAACGCCAAAACCACCTCTAATACTCGATATGTCCCCACAATTATATAAGGTCTCTTACAGAGGAATACATTTGATACTAGAGATGTTTTTTTTTGATCCGTTCGCTAAACCCTAAACCTCAACCCTATACTTGCCAGACCCGAGCGCTACAAGTCTATAGATAAGACCTACTCATTGGGCCCATAAAATCTGTAAGTATTGCCTACGTTGGGCTATGTGAATCCTCAGGGAGAAGTAAGAATCGTCTCGACCTCTGCGATCATACCCTCTGCAGCAAGAATTGCCAACTCATCCTCTTGCTCCTGCGAAGGGGTAATGAACGGCAACCTGGGGTGAGCCACACGGCTTAGGTTTGGATAGTCACGGAATAGGGCTACTGCAGTAGTAGGGATTTCGTAAAGATTCTATAGGGATGATGACAAGTTGTGGTGAGCGTTTTTCAGGAATCAAATGAAAGAGAAAATGGGAATGGCAGCTGGGGCTACATGACAGGCTATATAGGGTGCCGTAAAGAATCTCATGCGCCCATACCATTATTTGGGAAACCCTCTCATTTGATCTATGTGTATACCTGCATCATGCAGTAACTTAATTCACCGTTCTTAACAGAAGCCCAGCAACAGCACCAGCTGCACGTCAACCTGAGTCACATACGGGAGCGCTGCTTACTGTAGGATTTAGGTTTCTGGTTTAGGGTTTGGAGCTCAGCATTAGGTAAGTTCCCAAAATAGGCGGGGGGGAAGACACCAGCAGCCTACTGTTGATACTAAAAATCCTGTATGACCTTCATATACTGTAGTACTATAATTCCCAAGGTATATGGTACCAAGGGTCATGCAGGATTTTTAGTATCCACCCTAGTATAACCCTTACTGTAGGGACTAGGGACCTACATATAATTTGGATGGCATGAAACCCACAAAAAAAATGGAAGGTTCCATATGGCATGCGCAACCCTAAACCCTAAACCCTGATCCAGCAACAAGGTTGCTGAGGCTCATGTCATCCTCAAGAATCCTACCTTGGTTGGAAATTTGCTTAAAGGTTTTGGGTTCAGGGTGTAGGGTTTTGTAGGTATATAGTCATAGCGTATAGCATGTAGAGTTTAGGGTTTAGGCCAGGTATGTAGCATATATGTAGGGGCCAAAGAGGTCCCCATATGGCTACTTTGCCGCTCAAGTATACACGCGGTTTAGGGTTTAGGGTTTAGGGTTTACATAACTGTCTTCGTTCAATCCTTTGAAAAATGTTATCTATAGGGTTCTTATTGCAGGGTTTACTGTTCAATGAGGGGAGGATATCTAAGCCAGGTAAACACACTACGGAACACTAGTGCTATCTATCACAGTAACCATGAGAAACTTACCCTAATGGTCCAAGTACTCAATAGTCATACATTTGCCAACAACCTGTACTATACGATTCCCCAAATCCCCAGTCCCAAGTACCCAAATGCCAAGTACCAAATCATTGGGTACTTGGACTCTTCAGATAAAAGACATTACGCTAAGCCCTAAACGCTCGAACCCATTACCTGGTTATGCCTTGTGGCTTTCCCTGCCTGAAACTTGGCTTGCGCCACTCTGCTTTCTGACACCGGGGAAAATCTATGTCGGGACCCGCTTTGTAATAGGAATCCCACTAGAGGAACCGGTAGCATAATGAATACGAGGAAACACCGTTGAGGGCTTAGGTTTTAGGGGTATAGTCCCCCTTAAGTAGATAGAATATGGCTTTGGGTGTATTATAATAAGATCCCCATATACCCATATTCTATCTACTTAAGGGGGGCTATAAGGGCATAGGGACTAGGTAGAAGACAGCCCCAGTTGCCATCCGTGAGCAGCCGCTGCCTGAAGCGAGGAGCTTCGCAAAGAGGCTGAAGATGCTGTTTCCTGGGTCGTACACTAACTAGGCATACTAATGTAGACCCATGATTAATAAACCCCCTCCTTTTAAGGGCCTTAATATTAGGATCCCAATTATAATCCCTATTAAGGGGAGGGGGTTTATTAATCACGGGCTTGGGTTATGAAGCACTAGCGCTATGCATGATGACAAGTCTATTGGAATATTATCGGGTTTATACTTGATTCTTCCTGCAAAGGTCGTACATAAGACCTAAACCCTATAAACCCTAACCCCAAAGCATCTCCTTTTGAGTGATACTGCAGCAGCCGCCGAATAACAAAAATCAATGCACTGTTACATTAAGGGGGTAGGGGTGTCCCAAAATTAGGGGGAACTGTTTGGGGGGGGGGGTCCCAATAGTAAGTACTGCAGCAGTTGGGGATGTATCTGGGTGTTCCCCGATTCATGGCGACACCATGTTGACAATTTTGATTTGTCAGGTTGGTAGGGCTGTTTAGGGGGAGACGACCACAACGTGTTCATGCTGGGGCTATGTACTCTAACCCTAAACCCTAGCCTCACTAAACCCTCAAACCAAAAAAAGTAAAGCTAGTCAACGAAAACCCAGCTGCAGTTGCTTGGCATCGCTCACCGTCTCCCAAGGAATCGCAGTCAATTCTTCGCCCGCGGCCGTCCACACATGTAGCATTCAGTGTCCCGAGTGGTCAACTGCTACTGCAGGCCCCTATCCGGATCATATGGGGCGGTTGTCAAAATTGTACCACTAATATTATTACCAATATTACTATTGACCGTTTTTGGACACTCTACATATTCGGGGCCATGTTCTACTTGGGCTGCCAAACAAAGACCGTAGTATTGACAACCTATAGTCGCCCTTAAGTAGATAGAAAATGGCGTTCAGGGTTTAGGTTTTAGCGTAGAGTCCTCCTCAAGTAGATGGAGTATGGGGTATATGGGGATCTTATTATGATATACCCAGAGCCATATAAGGGGGACTATAATATCTTGGTATGCACGGAAACAACACTCTGTGACAGAACAATTTGTTTCCATTTGGGCTTTACTAGGTTGCTCTTAACGGACGTAAATTAAGTTGCCATAATGGGTATATACAGTAATTAATAGAGTGTCTCCCATATAGCAACTTAAATTATAAGCTCCTTCACAGCAACCCAGTTTAGGGATTAGAGTTTGTCAAGTGAGAGCTTGTATAGATTGCTGTTACCAAGGCAAAGAGCACAAGGAAACGTGTACAGGCATCGGTACTGTAACTACTCTTACTGGAGGAAGCCCCAAATTCGGGAGCCCGCATGGACACTACCTAGTTGCGGCTGAGAAGATGAAGATACGGTAGTAAATGCCCGAGGCTCCCTACATGTGCCGTCTACAAGCCGGTGATGGATTCGGGCGTTCTGAACCTTACCTGCAAACCTTCCTCTCGCGCTCAGGGCAGCGCTCACACACTTGAGCAAGACAGCAAGTGGGGTAGAAAGGCATCATGCTGGTGCTGATCAGTTGAGCTATAGTCTAAACTCCAAGTATCCCCCTTAATAACCCCTATAGTAGTTCCCTATATAATCCCCTATATAACCCCCTTTAAGGAGTTTAGACTCTAGCTCAGTTGACAATGGGATACAATGGGATTACCTGGGTTATTGCTGCCATCCGCCGAGGTTTGGACTGTCAAAACTGCATTGAGAAGTTCCAATCTTAAGCATCTGACCGCTTATGATGGCATCCGTTCTAGAGAAGTACTGCTTGACATCGTGCAGGGATTTTCGCCATGAACAAAACCAGGGTAGGCTTGGACCCTTGGTGGGATACTCCTCGCAATAGAAGCTGAAAACCCAAAGGGGCCCATAAAGACTACCCAAATCATGAAAGCCTACATGCGACTGTTTCGCCTCCGCTGTTTAAGAACATGCCAGGCTTGCGGCTTGCGTGTCAAAACACAGAAAGAAGACTATCATGCTTAGCGCCATTTCTGTGACAAATACTGTGGGCTAGCCTTGTCTTGGGTGCGCGCTTATTGGGTATTCTGCCCGCTGAAAACTGCCCCCAGAGAGGCTCTCATGATATTCCGCAAACATGGGCTCCCAAAATATCTTGTCATGAGAACGCCACAAGAAAGCATCACTGCTGCACAAGCCTGAAGTACATGAAATCTTGTGGCCTTTCCCCAAGACCATCATATGTTGGGTGCCATGCTCCGCAATCTCAGACTCAGGGGCTCCTAAAAACAACTGAAAGATAGCTCAATCAGGAGCCGGCAGCATTGTAGCTGATGGCGTCCTTGTCAGCAAGTCTTTGGCGTTGGGGATACGAAATCGCCACAAGGCGGGACCACTTAGTTCCAACCAGCTTCTAGCAGAGGGACGTCTTAAGCGCTAGCTGGTGAAGAAACCCCGCCAGTCCAGGCCAGTCACAATACAATCAAGCCTCTAGACAAGCCCCAAATAAGCCCAAAGAACCCTAAACCGTAAACCACCACCGGCTACCCTAAGCGCACGCGTAATTGGAAAATCCACTCTCCAGAGGGAACCTTTGACAAACCCCTACATTCAATCTGCCAATCTTGAGTAACACAATGATAGTTCGCCACAATAGGGGGACCCCACTACAGACCCCAATATACTACGATCCTTACAACAGGGACCCCCAAAAGGTACCCCTTTGAAGGGGAAGCTTGCTTAAGTTACCCTCTGCCAAACATGAGATGGGACCTCAAAGCCCTAAACCCTAAACCCTAAACTGGCCTTTAGAAGGGACCGTATTTGCGCTTGCATGTCAGTTGAGCCGAGGGTTATACTAACACCCTGCCCATCTGTTACAAGTGGTTAGTGCTGCAGCTGCCATTGAAGTTACATGGTTCAGGCAACTTACCTGTTCAAGTCCTGTCCTGAACAAATCACAGGGTTTAGGGTTTAGAGATTCAGGGTTTGGGGACATAGGGTTCAGGGTTTAGAGATGTGGGGTTGAGGGGTTTAGGGTTCAGGGCTTGGGGCACAACTAAGGAGGCTAGTGCCCGCGTCATCTCATATCCATTCGAGGCAGCAAGAGCGTGCTTTGACTGAACGATTGACCCCATCGATCCCCATAGACAACTGTGTGGGCTCATAAGCCCCAAAACTCTAAACCCGGAACCCTGAAGCCCTGGGCCTTAAACCGCGCATCCCCAAACTTCAGCATTCTGAAGCCACTAATCTCCGAAACCCCCATACCTCACACACATATGTATTCACACATACATCTTTGAAAGGCCTTTACCAGGACCTGAGGGTACCTCAGTATGAAACTGTAGGTACTTCCCCTAGAAACCCCTGACATACACCCTATCATACTACAAAGATTTCAATTCTGAACCCTACACCCTAATCCCTGAACCCTTACCAAGAATAAAATCCCCTCCCATGCGGGGTCCTTAGGGACGGATTTGCGGTCCATGAGATGCAGAACCGCGATGGCGTGCCTTAAAGACTTACATAGCGCATTCTCCCTAAGTAGGTTTAGGGTAGGGTTTAGGATTTACGGCTGAGGGGCTTCAAAGAGAGAAATAGGGCTTAGGGTTTAGGATTTACGGTTGGGGGTCTTCATAAAAATAAGTTTTGAGAGATGATATGCACACAAGTTATAGGGGACTCCACTGAGTGTAACGGCCAAAACAACTTGAACATCGCAGAACATTGGGTGTTCAAGGCATTTGGGTTTCGGGTTCAGGGTTGAGCCGAGGAACTCCCATCGGCCAGCCTTCTCGCAGGCCGTTATGGCTGCATTGAAGCAGGCCTGCATTCCGTATTCTTTCCCATGACCCCTGTATATATATATATATGTAACCCTATATAGCCATGTAACCCCCATAGAACACCAAATAGCCCCATATAACCCCATATACCCCATATAGACCCATATAATCCCATATAGCCCCATTTCATCCTTTATGTAGCTTCGCACAGTTTTGTGAGAACTTGGGCGTAGCCTTGAATTCAAAAATCTGGTATGCAGGGAGGATGATCAGAAGATACCATCACTCTGCGGCTTTCATTGTCTGAGTACTCAGAGTACATGTTTAAGTCGCTACACCCCTCCCATCCACAAGGAACACACAAACGATAGAAGGACAGTGCAGGCCCTACACCCTGGCCCCTGGTCCACACGCCCTAGTCCTTCAGTCCCTATCGTCTAGGGGGCCTTGGGGTTAGGGTAGGTAAATTACGGAATAATCTTGCCAGCTATGGTATGCAAATTCTGCAGGATAGGATATTACTTAGATATAGCCCAAGTTTTGCACTTTTAGGGACTTCCGGCGGTTGATCGGTGGCAGGACGACCTATGACGATCATGCATTGATTTTGAGTAGTTGGTGATTTTGTCGTATGGGTACTCCAGGAATTCTCGCACCAGTACCCTAAAACTTTCGCCGTCCACCTCAGGAACCACATCACTAGGTTTTCAGGTCAACAAAAATCACACTTTGACCCTAAACCCTAAACACTAGAATCACTGTCGTTTCCCTGCGCAGCCCTTAAGACCCAGGTGCCCAATAAACGGTTTGCGGGCATCAGAAGGCACTCAGATGAGGCTTTTGGGATCCTAAAGCCCCATTGTTTTTGTACTTTGCCCAGAAAGCCCAATATCCCTTCATCAAGGCACATACCTTGACTTAAACTAGGGATCGCAGTATCATGTATATAGGGTATTGAGGGATCTGGGCTTCCTTGGTGCATCCTAACCCTCGACGCTGAGCCCAACACCCTAATTCAGGGATATTGGCCTAAACCCCGAACCCCAAACCCTAAGCCCTAATTGAGGGATATTGAGCTTTCTGACCGGACCCTCTAAACCCTAAACCGTCTAGGCGGCCATGTGGCATCATGGGCAATGCCCATGTCAGCGATCTCGCCCAAAAGTTCAAGGCCCTCCCGCCAGAGGCTTCCTAAGCTTGGTTGAAATCATGCTTCAGTGGTTTAGGGTGTAGGGGCTTAGGTTTTAGGGTGTTAGGGGTTAGGGTTTGGAGTTTTAGGGTTTCGGGTCTAGGGGCACTGCCCCCCAAAACGTTCAAAGGGGAAAGAACATGGAATATGAACATGGAAACTGGGTTCATATGGGGCTTACCAGGCCTCATCTCTAGGGTCTACTTCGGGGACTTCAGCGGGACCAAGTAAGTCCCTCTGACTTTCCAGGTAGGGTTCAGGGTGTAGGTTAATTTAGGTTTACAGGTAGAACTTCACAAAACGGGATGAAGCGGTCCATGCACACCGGCACTTGGGCAACAGTTTCCACAAAATTTCATGCTACAGTCCTCCTGAGAAAATTAGTACCCGCAATCCCAGAATGGCTGCATCGAGGGAGAAATCATCTTGCACCACTCGTGACAGACCTATTGGTTCTTATTGAAACTGCCCAGAATAAATACGTCGTTACCACATTTAACTGGTGAAACACAAGCACGACAGTGCTCACTGTTCAGACGCTTCTTTGCAGCTGAACCTATATTCCCTGTTAAGTAGATAGAATTTGGTGTACATGGGGATCTTGTTATAATATACCCAAAGCCGTATTCTATCTACTTAAGGGGGACTATATCCTGTACTAGTCCTCCTCGAGCGTCCAGCAGCACAAGCAGCGAGCGTGGAGCTGTAGCTGTATGCATCCAGCTTGGCTCCAGAAGACTGCATCACCTCAAGC